ACGCGCCTGCCTGCAGGCGTGGTGGAGGCGGCGAAGCTGGCTGAGGTGGAGGCCCTCTGCCAGCAGTACCTGGCCTCGCCGCAGCAAGGTGCACGCGCCCCGCCGCCCGCGCCCCTGCCGTGAGAGCATGTCCCCCCGCTGAGCCCTGCCGCGAGGCCCGCCCTTGCGAAGCCCGCGCCTGCGCCGTCGCATGCGTAGCCGCGCCTCTGCGTCCCCTGCCCTTGTCCTGAAGCCGAGCCCTCCTTGCCCTCCGCGCACACAGCCCTGCCGTTCCGCCGACTCACCCCCCCGGCCACCACCCCAGCTCACCCCGCCCTGCACACCCCTGCCCCCGCCCGCCTTCCCCGCAGTGTACAAGCAGGAGGTGCCGCTGGCGCAGGCTAAGGCCATCAACGGCCTGCGGGCGGTGTTTGGGGAGACCTACCCGGACCCCGTGCGGGTGGTGTCGGTGGGGAGGCCCGTGGAGCAGCTGGTGGCGAACCCCGACGCGGGTGAGGGGAGGGGAGGGGAGGGGAGGGAGAGAGGGCGCGGCGGGGGGCGCTGCCTGCCCGCCGCTGGCTGCCCGCGGCGGCCGCCTCGCCTGCTCGGCACGTCCCCAGCCTGGTCCGCGCATCGCGCGCTCGTGCCCTGGCCGCGGCACTGCCTTGCCGCTACCTCACCTGCCTCGCCTCGCCCTGCACCTCGCCTCGCCCAGCACCTTGCCTCGCCCTGCACGCATCTCATGCCTTTCATGGCAACCTCGCAACCCGCTCCCCACCCCACCCCGCCCCACCCACACCCCACCCGCCCCACAGAGGACAACCTGTCCTACCCGATCGAGTTCTGCGGCGGCACGCACCTGGACAGCACCGCCCAGGCCCGCGCCTTTGCGCTGCTCACGGAAGAGGGCATCTCCAAGGGAGTGCGGTGAGTCCCCGCTGCCCTGAGTGTGTGCGTGTGTGTGTGTGTATGTGTGTGTGTGTGTGTGGCGGGGTGCCTGGGTATGTGCTTTTGTAATGGTTGTTGTTGTGGTGGTGCTGGTGGTGGTGGTGGTGTGTGTGGGTGTGTGGTGGGGACTGGAAGTGGGGTCCAGCTGGTG